ATACTTTCCCAGCAACTAGGACCCAGCCCCTTGGAGGCCTGGCATGATCATACTGCCTGGGTATTTGTCTACTTATATATGGACCTCACTGCTCCTTCCGATCTCTCTGTCCAAATTCTGCTCATCCTATAAAAACCTGCTCCTATCACCCCTCCTCCATTATATCTTCCAACACCTCCCAGTAGAAATTCTTTCTCCTTCTCGTGTGCCCATAACACTATCGGCTTTCCACCGAAGCACTAACCAAATCCTGGTCAAAGCATGAGTGTGTGTGTGTGTGTGTGTGTGTGTGATTGTGATTGTTAGTGTGTGTGATCCCTTGAGCTTGTGAACATCTCAGGGATAGAATCCATGTTTCCTGACCTTGTCATGTACAAGACCAGCCACCTGGCCAAGCTCAGAAAAGACTTGTGAATTAATCAGATCACTACTTGGAAAGAACATACCTGTAGGGAGCCACTTTTCATTTTCAGAATGGTGCTGGGAGGGCGGATTATTAAATCAGTGGCTTTTCTTTTTTAAGTAAAGACCACAAACCACTTTTGAAGCCAAGAAAAAGATGTGATTGGAGGCAAATAAATCAGTACCTTTAATCCTCCACTGAGTTTGGAAAAACAACAAAATGCCAGCTTCCACCAGATCATTTCTTTTTAATTAAAAGTTAGCCAGATTCTTTTAAAGGGCTTAATTTTCTGGTCAACAAAAAGGAACCAATGCCATCCACCCCCTCCCCTGTCTTCCCATCCCCACTCCCGGAGTTAGGCAACCCTTGGGGGCGGCATACATTTCAGCTGTTTGCTCTGCGCTCATAATTAGATTGTCTAGACAGGAGATGTTGCTGGAGTGATAGAAAATATTTTACAAGGTGTTCTGCAGAACCACTCTTATAACAGTGATTAGAACACACTGACAGACGCGAAGCCAGCAGAATCAGCCTGGGCCACGAGCCGATTTCACCCAGAGCAAAGCAGAGGCCCTTTGAAGCTCTTGTCTGAGGATCAGAGGCCAAATTAGAACTCTTGGGGGCACAGAGCAGCTTCCTGGCCTTTGGATCCCAGGGAACAAGGCTGAGACTATGGAGTAATGTCTGGAATGCCCTCCTTCCCACCTTCAGGTGTCAACAGGGGGCGGCTCCTAGCTGCTGTTTTCGCCTGCATCTCTACAGAGAGGCTGGTGGTGACCACCACAAGCAGTTTCTGAGGCCTCAGTTTTGCAGCATTGCCTGTCCATTAAATTTGCAGAATGCAAACTTTAAACAGCAAATTTTAAAATGGAAAGATAAGTGTGTGACGCCTACTCTCACAGGAAGACATTTCTCGGCCTGACCTTCGCTCTCAGCTTTTGTTAGCAAATCAATGTGCAAATAGCAATATTTTCCAGCAGAAAAACCTCTTTAGAGACATTTTTTTCATAGGAGTAATTGATTAGGTAAATCATTTAGCCCTCTAAGATGAATGACTTTTGGAAAATTGCTATACCAATAGAGGAGTACCACAAAAGCACAGAGTTTGGAGTCCAAAAAAACCCTTAGAAATTTTTAAAATAAGGAAGCTGAGAGATTCAGCAAGGAGAGGAGAATTATATTAAGAAAGTGGATGAGGATCTAGGTCCCTAATGCTTACATCAGTAAACCAGTGTCTTTCTAACAAACCTATTATAAAACCTTGCCTCCTCTAAATACTTACTACATACCAGACACTTTTCTAAGCATTTTATATGTATTATCTCCTTTAATCCTCAACACAGACTGAGAGATACCGTTACCCTCTCCAGTTTACAGAGGGGACTGAAGCCAGGACTGTAGTCTGATTGTTCTAGGTCACTAGAAGCAAATCTAGGACTGGCTCCCAGGAGGCCTTCAGACCTGCTCTCTAAACATAAGACTCTACCTCCTCATCAGAGTTCAGTTGGGAACAGAGCTAAAGAGAGGGGGGCCCATTTACTCTGAAAAACTACAATGCATTTGAGGATTTGGGAATCAGGTGCATGACAAAGGGAGGATTTGAAATCAGATAATCTCCTGTTTCAGACCCCACCATCATCTATTTACATGATTACTGACAAATCACCTGATGACTCAGAGTCACAGTTTTCTCATCATTATCTAGTGTGGGCATATTAAAAAATAGGGGGCAAGGGTGATTTGACAAGTAAATATGAATTTTTAGAACTCTAAATGAAAACTTACTTTATTTTCTCAACTTGCAATTTATAAAACACTTTCACATCCATCATTTAAATCTACAATGAACTGTATGATAGACCTGGCAGAGATGTTCTATTACTGACATTTTATAGATTGAAGATTGAGAGCTCAAGTAAAGTGACTTGTCCAAATTTAAACAGCAAGAAATTGATGTGGTTAAAATTAGTTATAGCTCTACCCTTATGCTTAATTCTCATAGAAGCCTCATCTTTCTGTCCACAGTTTGGATTATGAAATTAATTTTTAATTAAAATCTGGAAATGAGTTTAATTATAATAGAAATAAGATTTAGGGTTTGCATCTCAGATAAGGAAAGATAACAAAAGATAGGTACCAGCAACTAGTTACACTGGTGGATAAAACAGGCCTTTTACCATTCCCCGGTTTTGTCTCTAGGGAATGTTCTAATTCTAGGAGAATCTGCCTTCATCACACCAATAAATAATCCACAGCCTTTAGTTGTCTCTTGCCATTGTCTCTCTCTCTCTTTACACTGAGCCAAAGGCAAACAGTGAATAAAACAAAACAACTCTGTTTTGTAAGCACCAGTATGTGGGATACGCTGGCACATGTTCTACTAAGTTCCAATAGTCCTCTTTGTGGCTTCTTAAGAGAAGCACAAGCTACATTAACAGAAGTTATCTTCACCCAGAGAGACAGAGAAGAGGAAAGAAGAGGAAAGAGGGTGACAAAACAGGTGGGATCATAGAGCAAAAGAGGGAAGGGAAATGAAGAGAGAGGAAGGGAAGATAAGGGAAAGGGAGAGACAGAGATAACATATTATTTATTCAAAAGAAAGAATACTGAACAAAGAATTGGAAAAACTGGTTTTAAAACCCAGCTTTAATACTATTTAGCTGATGGTTCTGAATCCCTGAACCCCTTTTGGTCTCACTTGTCTCATCTCTAACATGTAGTCAATCAGCCCTACTAATTCTTGCATGTTGAAGATCAATGGTACAGGGGATGTAAAAAGCTCTTGGCAAACACTGCCAGCATTACCATCCACAGCTAGCGGGTGCTAATGTTAAATCATTGCATTTTCTCATAACACGGGGATTTGCTCAGACTGTGTCCAGGCTTCCCTCTGACGTCAGTTTACGATTATTTAGCAGCTGATTTTTCCCTTGCCTCTTCCTCCTTTTTCTGACCTTTGACCTTATAATAGTGACTTAATATGCAACCAGGAAGGGCCAACTGACTTGGAAATAAAGATAACAATCAAATTAATCTACTTAGTTTCTTGTTAACAAAAGCTTGTATCTGGGAGAAAATCAGAACTTGTTAACACCTGATATTTTTGAGGCATATTACAAAGTGCTTTCAAGCTATCTCATTAGAGACTGTTAATGAAGCAGAATGACAACTAATATGAATGACTCTTTGATAGATGAGGAAGCGAAGTTAACTGTTGTAAAATTGTGACTGAAATCCAGGACTCTAATCCTAGTGCAAAACTCTACTATGAAAGTTTGCTAAAAAACTGAGCAGAACATAAAAAAAACACCCCTTCACCACACTATGTTCCTACCTCCAGGGGTTCAGAGACAGCCTTTAACATTTAATAGTATGCCAGCTGCTGGCACAGGCTTTCTCATTCTAACCCTAGAATGCAGATCTGGATAAAGCCGCACAAGTTAATTAGGAGGGCTGGAATTACATCAACTCTCTGTGGTAATAATTGGGTGCCTCATGGGAAATAAAATAAAATATACCATAAAAATGAAATTTGTCTGGCAAAACTAATGCAGAAAGGGAAGTGAAGGATTTGAGAATGTGGGAATAGTGTGAGGAGGCACATTTCTTACTTTATAGAGTGGAGGCTTGATATACACTATTTAAGAAAAACATCAGAGGAAGCATATTATTTAAATAAGTAACCATTGAAATAACTATAATGATAATTATAAACAACTTTAAAAAAATGAGTGATGTAGGAGTTTTCATCTTTTTTTCAAGAAGATGAAAGAAGTGGGTTGTCATCAATGTAAATGGGTTTATATTAGGGAGTCAGTAGATAACATTCAAAAAAGATAGGAATAAGAATGCTATGTTAGAACTTCCAGTCAAGATGGCTGCATAGGTTAGACACAAAATTTGCATCTTCCCACAACCATATCAGAATTACAACTAAACTACAGAACAATCATCATACAGAAATGCCCGAAATCTGGCTGAATGGATGTCCTAAAACTGGGAATTTAAAGAAGAAGCCATATGGAGACTGGTATGAGGGGAAAGACAGGAACAGACTGGTTCCCACACTGATTAGTGGTGGATAAAAATCAAGAGGGATACCTCTGGCTGCAGAGGTCCCTCCTGAGGAGCAATGGGTCCCAGACCCACACTTGGCCCCCAAGCCTAGGATTTCAGTGCTGGAAAGAGAAGTTCCAATAACTTCTGGCTGTAAAAACCAGTAGAAATTGAGGCTGAGTAAGAGTAAGATGAAGGGTTACTAGAGTCCCAGGCAGTTCCTCTTAGAGGACACATGCTGATTCTCTGCCAAACAAATTGGTTGAGAAGCTCTCCTATCATACTCCCACAGCTCTTTCCACCTCATATTTAACTATTTACTTGTCAGTTTTTCAAAATTAAGTAAAAATTTACTCAAAAATTTATCCCTGACTGACATAGATTAGGAATTCAATGATTGTTTGATGAATTCAACTGAGAGTTTCACTGTTTTCCCCTGGATTCTTCCAACTTAAAGAGCTGAATTGAACTTATAACTGTTTTCCCTAAATGTCCCACCCCCACTGCACCACTTTCCCAAGTTTTAAGACATCATACTCACTTGTCCAGGGACATCCCAGGAAAGGCAAACTTGCCTAAGCAGATGCGATAGACAGCACTCAGGGGAATTCGCTGCAACTGCACACAGCTGAGCATGATGAAGTCATACTTGCAGATCAAGAGAGTCTTATCTGTGATCACCAAAATCCTCTCCTTCTCATTGTTCCAGTGATCTATCCTGTAAGAGTCATCACAGAGAGTACATAGTTGATTGCATAAACTTTCCAAGTTAAATATACTGGCATTAACTGAAACATCTTTAGTAACACAGAAGATAGTAAAGTCTGATCATTTAGTAAAAAGAGGAATACCATCTCCTCTCTCCCTCAGTCTGGCTCCATGACCAAGGTCAGAAGAAGGGTGGAAGAGCTCAGGGAAATTTTTTATGGCCACGGGGCTTAGAGATGGTTACCAATGATGGGATCCATTAGGGGAATAATAAGTTTGTATCATGTTGGCAGTCAACTGATTCATGCTTCTCCTTATCTTTCCAGTTCTGTAGGAAACCTTCATGAAAGCACATCTTCCTTCAAGGACACCAAACATATCTCCTTGTTCTAACACAATCTGCACTACAAATATTACTCACTAGGCACTAGTTTATGCTAATCTCCAATGATGATATTGCTGACTGGAGATAAAATGGGAACTTGAACATAGGTCCACTGATCCCCATCACTATTTTAAGGTCATCCATCCTATCATATCTTATAGTAGAAACAGAGTAAAATGAGTGAAGTGGGATACTTATGAGGCAAGGACAAAGTAGACACTAGATAACTATTTATTGAGTTGATTTGCTTCAGACTTAAAATCCTTTCAAGGCATGCATGGAAAATTCTGAGTGTTAAAAATCTGTCAAAAAGAGAACAAGAAGTAATCAAAACAATGGCATCTGGTTAAAAGAAAATGAACAGGGTCAAAAATTTCTCTCACCCACAGCCCCTTTGCTGTATGTTTACTATAGCCTTTAGTATATAGCACTTCATGACTTTTATTAGAATTGTTTTAGCACATGTTTTGTCTTCCTTAAGATACTAAAAAAAAGTGATTTGTAATTGATTTACATCTAAATCCCCAGTACACAGAATCAATCTAATAAAAGATAGTATGACCACCCCACTCCCATCCACAGTAACCACAGTGCTATTCTTAAAATACAGAAGGAAAAAAATTACTCCTTGTTCACCTTATTAAATAACCTCTTTTCTATCCTAGGATCAAATCCAAGTTATCTAATTGGACTGCAGATCCCTGAATGGTCTGGCCCCTGCCCAGCATCATCTCACAGCAGGATGAGAAAACTCTTTGTCCAAGTCATGGTTTACATGCCTCGTCCAAAGATGATTTCACAAACTCCTATATAAACTTGGCCCCCTATTACACTCTCTTGAAGCATCCTGATCTTTCTTTCTTTATGGTACTTACTACCATTTGTAAGAAGGAATCCTATGTAAAACTTTTAGTAACAGGTACCACATGGACACTGACAAATCAGAATGGACATCATAGTACAGACAGTAGAGCAATGGCCGTGAGAAGGTCTGAGTATCACCCCTGTGTGTGTGTGTGTGTGTGTGTGTGTGTGTGTGTGTGTTTGTGTGTACTTTTCATGAGGGCAAATGGAGACATGACTAGTATTAATCTCATTAGTTAGGGGAGATAATTAAGGGACCTGATTCTCAATCGGTGTCCTAAAAGTTAACTGTTATTATCACTGGCATGGAACTAAGTCACTAAATAATTTTGGGTAACTGAAATATATTCCATTCCTCGGTATATTTTAAGGAAAGATGAGCAGGAAAAATTGAGGAGTTAAGTCAATGGGGGGAGTAATAGGAGGAGATATGAAGGAGAGAAAAAAGGATAAGGATAAAGAAAAAGAAAAAGAAGCAGCAAAGAGCCAAGATGGCGGCCAACGGGATGGCAGGCTGCAAGATGGTGTGTGAGTGAGAGAGAGAAAGGAGAGTGCGTGGATGTGAGGGGAATGTCTGTATTTGCGAGTGAGAGAGACCTATATTCCACAGAACTGTTGGGGACTGGGGGACCAGGCTCCCCTGGCTGGGCAGCCTCTACTACTGCTGAAATCATTCCCAGAGAGGCTAGCTCTGCCTCAGAGACCACGCCATCTTGAAGGGGAGAGTGGCTGTGATTGGAAGCCCAGCTTTACGTTCAACTGAGGAGACTTTGGATACCTCCCAGGATCCTACAACCATAATGCCAAGGGACCAGCTGCCTAAGCTGTGAACCCACGAACACTGAGACTCCAGTCTCCCAGGCCATGGGCACCTAAAAAGTTTGTCCAGGGGGAGACGAAGTGGTGCTGAATATGCGGACAGGCCTTGCGCCTTCTCACAGAGCAGATAAAAGGAACAGCTGAATCAAATAACACCCACCTGGAATTGGCAAATTAAACACAGCTGGTGAGGCAATCCTTGGACGGAAAGGTCAGAGATCTCCTGGAGAGAGGTGAGATCTGGGATCCAGGCTGGAGGGAGAAACTCGTGCAGTGGGGACTAGAGCCTCAAGGGAGACAGCGCCCCACCAAATCTGCGGCCCTTGGAGTCAGTGTAGCCCTTGAATGTGGAAGGGGGTCCACAGGGCTGCTGGCAGAAGGGGACTCTAGATACAAGTCCACAGCCATGGGAAACTGTGACCAGAAAGGCAGCCTGAAGTTCTATACCAGCCATGCATAAGTATAGACATAAGTTAGCACAGCACCTTTGTTTTTTTAACCTCCTTGCTTTTGCTTGCTAACTCTAGTACATAGGATCTTTCAATTAAAAACACTCACCAAGACTGCAGGGGAAAGTTGTTTTTGTGGAAACTGGGGATCAGAATAAGGAGAGATGAGTAGAAAACTAGATCTGGGTCAGTCCGTCCCTCCAGCCCAATATTAAGTGTGGCAGGGAAAGAAGAGTCTGAACACTGCATAGAGGGGCCATTTAGTCCCAGAAAATAATACAGAAACACCACCACCCAGGGGTTGTGTCAGAAATTGACTCTTGTGTAAATACAACTGAAGGCAGACAGAGAAACAAAGTGAGCAAAGAGATCCCGCCTGCTTGAAAACAGGGTTGTGGCTTATGACACAGAGGAGCATTGGATCACAGGAAACTTCAACACTGTGCTGACTACCTGACAGGAAACAGATATGCCAGGCAAAAAAGTAGAGGAAGTGAACGACCTTCACTACCTCACTTGTTAATTTTTTTATCTTTTACTTAAGAAACTAATATTTTTTCTCACTTGGTTTTTTTTATTATGACATTTTTGTTTTTAATTATTATTATTACTACTATTATTTTACCTTTTTTAAAGTTTTATTTTATTTTATTTTGGGATTAGTGTTCTACATTCCATTTTCATTTTTATTTTAGCATTATTTTACTCTATCTCAATTTTTCTTTTATGCCAACACTCTCTTTCTCACTTTTCCCCCTTTACATCCTGTTTCTTTTACCCTGTTCCTGCTTTCATTTTTCTCTATCCTTTCTTTTTACTCCCTGTTAAAAATTGATCTTACTCATATATCTAATTTCCTCTCCCCTGCTCCAAGTCCAGGGACAATTCTCTCTTCTCTTTCTTCAATAGCCATTTTTTTTCCTTTTTCTTTCTTTCTATCTTGTTATTGTTCTTTTTTTGATTGTTAGTTTTGTTTTTGTTTTTCATTTTTCTTCTTTTTTTTTGCTTCTGTTTTTCCACTCCTCACTTGTTCTCTTCTTCTACTAATAGCTTAATTAATTCCAATCACCAACTCAGGCCTATCTATTCTCTATTATCCTTTTCCAATAATAGATGAATACATAGATAGATTAAAGAAAGGGGGAAATTTATATATATATATATATATATATATA